CAGTTTTGCATGGGAAACCCAGCAATGCAACTTTCACGTAAGTGGGCTGCCATTCAGCAACCTGAAGTTTATCTCAAGATGGGATGCCCAATCTTGTTCAATATTTTGAAACAACCCCAGAACGGGGCTCCTTCAATAACGACACCTCATTCGCAGGATGTGCCAGCTCTAAGCTTCGGGGCGCTGTTTGGCGCCTATGCTAACCTGGCCAATACCGTTCTAGGACTGGGCTGGACAAGACCATGTGCGGAATGGCCGTGTGCTTTTTTTGGGGACATCGCGCCGTAGAAGCACAGGGCTCCTGGGTGATTTACAGGTTTGTTGATTGCGCACGCGCAAGTCGTGTCTTGGCTGCGTCGACACGAGGGGCCGTGGTGTATTGATTTGCAAGCCCCGTGCAGTCCCCGTACTTCCGATTTTTTTTATTTGAGGGGAGCCTTTGGACATTTGGCGATCCACAGACCATGTTTGAGGGTATCAGCACTCCAGCCTCGGGGCTGCCCAGGAGCGGGGACCCTGGCCGTGCCAGTGGCGCTGAGCAGCGCAGGCTGGCAGCTCTGGTTGAAAGGGAAACCATAAGTTCCATAAGGGACACCGCCACTTTCGGGGTCCCCCCCCCATTTTGATATTTGCTCAATTGGATTTTTATGAATCTTTGTGTGAACCAATGTAATACCACCAAACTGTTACTGTACTCCACACCAAGGCTGTTTGTACTGCTAGGTGAAGCGGGGGGGGGGTGTTTGGGTAGGGGGTGGTGGAGTTGGAAGTTTCAAAACAACTAGCATCTACAGTTCAAAGTATTTTGCCGCGTTTACGTTGGTTAGCTGACTAGCGCACTAAGAGTAGATGACCAGGCCGGAGAATCAGTTAGTTGGAAAAGAAGCTTTGTAGCGAGTCAGTCGGTCAACCAGCCAGCCAGTCAGTCCGTCAGTCAGTCAACCAGTCAATCAGTCAATCGGTCAGCCAGTTCGTTACTTGGATTGTCTGCTGCTGCTAGCTTGCCTGTGTCTCTACCGGGCGTGTCTTCCACTTGAAGCCTCCACTGCTTGGATCCTGGCCCTGTTGAAACTTAAAGGAAGCGGTTTAAACAAGGGTGATTAATCAGATCTAAACAAGGGGTTCTTCGTGAAAGTTGCTGGGCGTCGAGGCCTGGTGTCCTACGAGTTGATTGTTTGTTGTGTGGTGGCGCTGAACCTTACCACGGTGCAGTGGCTGGTGGAGGTGGCAGACAGCTTGCCCAAGGAGCGATGTGCACCAACGAGTCCCCCATGAAACTTCAGAAGCCCATCATACATCCCAGCCGCTGACCACTGGACACCGCCCTCCAGGCGGTGGACATGAATACTTGTCGGAGGGGCAGAGGCTTTTGCGGGAATCTCGCTCCAAGGTCAGGCGGTTGGGTGTTGAAGCATCAAACGCGTGTCGCCTAGCTAGCAAGCAGCCGATTCAGTCATGCAAAAACTACCGACAGTAATTTCCACAGAGTCAGAATCACAACCTTGGCGCAACCCAAAGGGTCCCTTGTCAAAAGGGACATTGTACTGAGATGCCTATGAGGCAAGCTAAAAGGGCAAGCTGCGAAGCTGGCAGTCTTTTTCTTTGGGAGAAGAGAGTGCTGGTAGGACATGCCGAGAAATTACGAGGGCATCGCGCGGCACTACTTGGGGCGGTTTGCTGCACACGCGGCCTGAATAATCATAGGGCCAGCACCTTTCCCCTTTGGTCACATGCCAAAGTCAGGTTTGTGTTTAAACAAGCAAACAAACACATTGTGTTTTACCCTGTACCAACCCTTATCCCACCCTGGATGCCCTTAATACCCGAAGCCACGTGTCGAGATGAATTTTGGGAACTCCCCAAAATCAATCCTTAGTGCCAGACAGAAGACAATCTGGCGGAACCAAGAAGCACTGACTGAGCCATAGAAGGCCTCTAGTGGAAAACCCCCATCGAAACCAGAACAAGGTGATTTCCTGCGTTTTCATCGTGGGTGGCCTCGCTCTGGGCATTTCCTACATGCTTTTCGTCAGCAAATCCTTGGCGCCGGTAGTGGCGGGACTGATGTCCTCCTCGGGGACTGCCAGCGAGGAGGAGGAGGCGTTTCTAGCGGAGGTCATCATGTGGAGCTTGGGGCTGCTAGTGGTGCTGCCCCTAGGTTTGCTCAGAGACATCTCCAAGCTGAAGTTCACTTCTGGCATTGCCATTGCGACTTTGCTTGCATACTCTCCCATGGATCGGAGGGGTTTGGAAGCCCCATTTTCAGCATCGATACTTTGTGGTCGCACAGGTAACCTTGATCTACGCGGCCAGCTTCATCATCTTCCGCAATGCTGCCAGTCTTGCTGAAGAGCCCAAGGCTGGGAGGCTCAACATGCAGTGAGATCAACTTTGAGGGGGATCCACCTTCCTCATGGCTCCAAGAGTCCAAGGGACAGACCACCCTGGGAGGTCGGGGAGGGCTTTGAGCTGGTGAAGCTGCAGAGCAGCTTCTTTGCGACGTGCCATTGTAGCAGCCATCTTGTTTTTTTCTTTTCTGACCCAAGGGAACCAAACGAAGATGGGGGAATTTGACGTTTTTCCAGAGGCTATGTGACACCCAGGTGAGTTTGGCCATGACCACCTCCAACTTCTCCTGCCACATTTCGGCTATCCCCATCTACGAGTCTTTGGGGCCCAACAAGAGCCCCAGGCCGCAAGCCCGGCCCCAAAACAGCTGGGAGGGACTAGGAGGTTGATCGGTTGATTTGGGATTTGATGGTTGGTCATACGTGTTTTCTTTGTTCTGCTTTGGGATTTGGTCGTTTGAATATGTCTCGGCTGCTGTCCAACACGCGGTGGTAAAATGTCAATGCGAAATACCTGCACACATCATGCCCCGCGTCCCATTCTGGGAAACACACGGGGTGGACAACATAACGCAAGCGAAAATGGCATGGCTCAGTTGTCAAATGGGTGTGTCGCTTTTTGGGTTGGGACACGGTGGTTGTTTTCTCATGAGCTAGGCTGATGCGCCGGGCGGTGCTTGGGTCCTTGGCCACAGCTGCGCTGCTCTACCAGGTGGGAAGTTCTGCCTGGCTGGCTGGCACTTCCAAAAATGTCCCCAAAGGTGTCATGCACACCCCTTCACCCGACGGTTTTCAGCATGGTGTGGACTTTGTCCAGTATGAACCTTGGCCGGATCCTGGCATGCCAAAGTCCCGTGGCAACAACTTGCTGGTTCTCAATGGACCCCATTCCGCTGTGTGAATGCCCCAGGAATCCACAGCGAATTTGCGAATTTGGTTCTACTTTGTCCAGAGAGACGGAGGCTATCGAGCAAAAGACCCAGCCAGGCGGTCGGGATCACCAGCTACTTGCGCTTTGGGGAGCTGGGCTCCGATCAGGGCAACATCCTGGAGGCCAGACGGGTACATGAGTCGATTGGCTCGACTCGATTGGCTTGATTGGTCAATTGGGTCAATTGAGTCGACGGGTTGGGGAAGGAGGGGACACAGGGCAGGGGGACGCGATGTTTAGCCAATTTGCATGTTGGCGGTAGCTCTCATGGCCAACAACGCTCACGATAGACATGTGTGCAATGTGTGTTTTAGTTTAACAAAGTGCTGTCGAGCTGTGCAAAAATTGCATAAAGTATGAACAACGCAGGACACGTAATGGTATTGGTCATACAGTTACATGATAGTTATGCCAGACACATGCTGGAAAAAGGCTGGACATGCGGTGGACCTATCTTGCAAGCTTGTTGCGGGTGTGCTAGTAATTTGCTAACCATACAAACGGAGCATGCTAGGATATGCTTTTAACATGAACGCAGGAAAGCAGCGTCTTGGAAAAAAACATGAAGCAAACTAGGCGAAAAGCACGACCAGTTAAAGGCAATCTCAACTGGCAAACCTGGCCCCAACAGAAGCGACGCAAGACAAGGGTAGTAACTCTGACTCGCAGCAAGTGCCATAGAGTTTGCCCTTGGGGCAGAGACTGGGACTCTACGTGCACCGGAGGGCGGCGAGAAAACTCACTGTGGAAAAAGCTAGACTACACAAACAAAGATGTCCTGCAGAACACGTTTGCTTTTCATATGTGCTGAACATGTGCTGCAAGACCATTGCCGCCGCCACCACAACCACCGCAACCACAACCACCACAACCACCACAACCACCACAACCACCACAACCACCACAACCACCACAACCACCACAACCACCACCACCACCACCACAACCACCACAACCACCACAACTACCACAACCACCACAACCACCACAACCAAAACCACAACAGCAACAGCAGCAGCAACATCACTAGCACCAGCAACAACATTCACGACGATGACGCGCTCCCGCGGCAGTACAAGGGGAAGGCTCGACAACCAGAGTAGGTGCCAAATTTGATTTGAAGATGAACACATGCTGCAATGTTTGTTGCAATGCTGTTTTAGCATGTCTCAAGAACAGAACGCCAACGTGCCCAGCCATTCTTTCTAGGCATGTCCAAACCGGCCACGCGGATCTTGGCTGGTGGGGAGTCGGGCCGTGGCGTAGGTGGTGATGCAGAGCACGAATCGCCTCAGCTCCCCCCTGGAGTTTGCCTTTGGCTGCCTAGCCAGTGCCGGCGTGGCCTTTAACCTGGTCTTCTCTATGCCCGTGGCCCGACAAAGAGAGTCAAACAAGAGGAATTTAAATTGGGGAAGGGGGGGGCGAGCCCTGGAGGTCTTGATGGTGTGCCGGACTCGACGAGATGTCCCCAAAAAGCGGGGAGGCAACTCTTGCAAAGGTTTGGGTTACTTTGCTGAGTGAGCTTGTAACTTGTTGCCAAATGTGCCATTTTCATCAAACAAACATGGGATTGCCAGTTCTAGCAAAAGACCGCGATTCAAGGTGGTGATGTGGGCTCTGCGCTCCGCCTGCCTCAGCTACTCCCGCGCTGCAAGGTCTTTGCTCTGTGCTCGCGCCGCGTCTGAAGCTGACACAGCGGAGCCGTCAGCGGCAGAGTGGTCCGTGGCCACGGGGCTGCTGATGCTTGCGATCTTGGTGTTGGCCACCAAGGTGCCGGACATCCGGGTGGTGATGTCCATCGGAGGCTCCGTGGGGGGCACCTTCATCGCCTTTATGTACCCTGCACTCTTCCGTTTATACGTGGTTAAGGCGAAGTCGAGAGTTTGTCAAGCTGCGAACTGGCCGGAGCTGGGCGTTGTGGCTCTGAGCGTGGCGTATGGAGTGCTGAGCCTCAGCAGCGCCTTAGAAGCGGCCTTCCAGCTCGAAGAGCCCGAGCCGCCTGACGCCACGACCAGCACGACGAGCACACCGCCTGAAGCCGCCAAAGCGCTCCTGCGGCTTTTGGGCTGAGCGAGTACTCACATCGGTTCATGCGGCCCGAAGGTGGCCGCCGCGGTGAGAAGGTGAAGCGTGGAACAGGTGTGAGCGCCTCGTCTGGCACGGGGGTAGCTTCGTTCTATGTCAACTGTGTCCTCCCGTCAGCCGCCATTCGCCGCCAGATGGTGCATGTGTCCTCGAGAGCTTGAAAGGAAACGGCACTTTGATTCAACACATTGTTGCAATCCTCGGATGCAACATTAGCGCACAATGACACACCTTCCCAGCTTGCTTCGAAAACCTGGCTGCTGATGCCTGTTCCCTTCAGTCAACTTCAGCCTTTTGCCACATCCTGACACAATACCATAGCATTGAATTGCAACCGGCTCCTTGCTGTGCTTTTGTGTGCTATGGTCTGATAAGGGATGTCAAACAGCATTCTCAATTGAGCGGACATCCATGGACCCCAAAGAACCATTTGAATCTCCAGACTTTTATGCCGTGATTTCTTGAGCCATAACCAGACTCTTGCGTCTGCTGACGTTCCTGCCGCTGCCGCTGCTGCTGACCTTCACCTTGCGAACCTTGCCGGGGCGCTTCACGATAATGGCAGGCAGGTGCAAAGGCCAGCTGTCGCAGGAGGAAAGGGCGGGGCTTTCGGTTCGGCCTTTCCCGCAGCCTTGTCTTGGCATCGGGTCATTTTCTGCTAGGCCCACGTCATAGCAGCTGGCCAGATGGTTGGTGTCTTGTTGGCTTCGGAAGACACGGGGAGGGGGGGTGTTGGGGGGACGCCCACGGTGTCACCCAAGTGTCCCAAATAATATCAGCGGCCCACCCAAATTGCCCACGTCCTTTGTGAGAGCAAGGAGTATTGTCCGTGGCTCACGTGCTGTTTGTTTTGGGTCATGGACAATTACAGTGTAGGAAGGACAATGACGGCGATGCAAGTATGCATCGTGGTGGTGGTGGTGGTGGTGGTGGTGGTGGTGGTGGTGGTGGTGGTGGTGGTGGTGGTGGTGGATGATGATGATGATGATGATGATGATGATGATGATGATGATGATGATGATGATGATGATGATGATGATGATGATGATGAACATAATCCTGAAGAAAGAATGTCAAGGCGCCATGGCAAGCTTGGGTCACCAAGCATCAACCAGCAAATAGCTAAGAGTTCCTTTCGCCCACAGTTTGCCATGCGCGGATGTCCAGAATGCCCTATGCATCACAGAGTGCAACCAGTTTGAAAGGTGGAAGGGCACGGCACGTTTTTGGCGGACCATGGGTTCAAGGGCCTCTTTGAGATCGTTTGCCAATTATTGTGTGGGGCACCTACCCCTACCAACAAAGATGGAAGTGCACACTTATTCTGGAAGACTACAGGAGTTTGTGCATGTCTAGGTTTGTTTGCCGAAGAGTGTTTTTTCCACATCCAGCAACTCTGAATTGCTCGGCGTAACCTTGACCTGGCCAGCTGATAAGCTTGACTTGCATAGCCGCATAGGCGCTAAAAACTGCGACACGGATGATGGATCAAGTCCCACACTCACGACAACTTCATATCCAACACTGCAAACTCATGGCCCGTTGGGGAGGGGCGAGTTCAACAAATGGTCCTGAGACTCCTAGTCCAATTCATGGCCCAAATTGAGATCGGTTTCTGTTTGTGTCTTTTTGCGCACTGGCTCTGGCTGTCTGCACCCTGGAGGAGGGAGAGATCTTGCGACTCGTTCGGGAAGCAGCCGATACGATGTTTCGAGGTACTGCCAAGCTGGCGGGCTCATATGCTGAGGGCACAGCTGTGGCTGGAGTCTCTGACTTGGACATTTGGGTATCCACCCCCTCGCCGGTTTCGAGAGGAGGCCGGGTTGAGTTCAGGGACTTTTTGGTGCAGGAATTGGAAGATTCTGATTTCAGGCTGGAGAGTCCATGCACTATAGGACGGAAGGCAATTAGATTGGCGCTGTCGAAGAACCGAAAGGCGCGGTTTCTCCAAGCAGATCTTGGGTTCGTGTTTCTTGAAGACTCCTGGTTTGTCCACGCATGGTATTTGGACAGGAAGCTACCGTGGACGTGGTCTGCGAAAACATGATCATCGATTGCGGCTTTGACGAGCAAGACTTCGGGCGGGTGACGCAATGCATCAGCCGCTTGGAAGCGCAGGAGAAGTCCACGAGGCACTTGCATTCGTGCGCCATGTCCCAAGAAGCGGTGAGGATGGTGAAGGCTTTTTGCACCCGGGAGAAGGACAGGAATGCGCAAGGGGCGAAAATAGAAGTCGTGCTTCAGGTTGTGGATGTAGCTAACCAGCTTCATGCCATGTATTGGAACGGTATTTTTTGCATATTCGTTCTTCTCTTTATTGCTCGAATCGGTGTTCGGCATATCGGCATGTTGGTCCACGTTGGTTCTTTGTGTGATCGTTTTGTGCGCATGTTCCCGTTCTTGGCTATTGGACCGTACAGGACGGTAAGCTTCAGACGGTGCCGGGGTACTTGCTGAATCACATGTCTTGGCGGATCTTAGACTACATTGACTGTCAGACGTCCCTGGAGCTGTTCGAGAACATGGTGGAGGCGCTTTTCTATGGGATGAATGTCGATGCTTGCGATCCCCGGAATTGTTGGCATGATTGGAATAGACAGCACGAGCCTTGGAAGCACAGAGCCAGCTTTTTCGTACATCGATCTCATCATTTAGTTTCATTGAAACCCCCACCCTTCCAATGAGCCGCTAGTGACTGGGTATGGCTTTTCGGCCTTTCGCCAGGAGCAATTGCACAAAGATCTGGAGGCAGACTTCAAGGAGCTAGCCAGCATGCGCCGCGGCGCAAACCAGGATAAGCGCTGGTTGAATGCCGTTAGCGGATCGCTCTCCAGGTTCAAGGAAGTTTTGGGCTGCATGAACAAGGGCCGGGCGGCTTCATTGCGCAGGCATCCCGTGCTGGGAACCTGCAGCGACCTGCTGGTTTTGTCACCAGATTGGTGACGGAACGGGCAGGCGAAAGCTCCGCACAACTGGGTACGGGGGAGGCAAAGCAACTACGCGACACTGGCCGTATGGATTAGGGCGCAACAAGCTACTGCCAGCGGCGTTGACGAGTGCAGACCGTGACTGTGTGCACATGTGTACTGTGTACACATCCCTGAACCTTGCCATACGAACCGCCATGGATGCCACGTGGCAGCGAAGACTCCTTCGGGCTTGCGGGAAAGGGCTGGTTTGCAACGCAGACTTGTCCATAGCTGTCCGTCTCAGCTCAGTTTGCTGAATAGATGGCACTGGTGGGCGGTTAGATCCAAAAGGGCACCTGGGCTTGTCCCGCACGGGCAGGATGCCTTCGCCAGCCAGGCACGGCGCGAGCGAGGGTGCGGCAACATTTTCGGCTGTGAAATGTGAATGGTCGGAACACCAATGGTGGTTGCGTATAAATAATGCCTCCAACAAAGGGTCCCCTATGAAGTTTCAACACCCGCATGGAATTTGCTTGGTAATGATCATGCTGAGGTCCCCCATCAGTCGCGCGTCCAGCCTCAGATTTCCCAGGCAGTGTCATTCTGTGTTGGTGCCAGTGCGGTGGTGATGCTACGAGAGTTCTGAACAAGCACGAGAAATGAATTGTAGCCTTGCGCCACAATCCCTCCAACCCTTTCTGCTGGGGAAATGGCCTTCTGTCACCTCCTTTAGGATCCTTCAGCCCCCTTTCAGATTCTTGGGAATCCTTTAGAATCAGATTTCTCTGCAAGGCCCGTTGTCATGGCGCAAGCAACTGAGCAGGCCGGCCGTGTGGCCCTTCGCGCGCAGCCGGAAGCAAGCGAGGCGAGGCTGGCTGCGCGGAGGTGAAGTAGGGGCGGGGTGCAGAGCAGGCTCTGGAGCTTTTCCGGGCAGGGACCCCATAGCTTTCAGTTCAGGAAGAACGCGGATGCCCGCCCTTTTGATTCTGTACAAGATCCCTTTGACATCAGATTTTGATGATCACTGTTGCTTTGGCCGGCGTACAGATAGCAAGAAAGGTTCCAAATCGCGATTCTCATGATCAGCAGCAGCGGGTTCTATGCGTTCCTTCACTCCTTGCTCTGGGGCAAGCCCCAGGTTGAAGAGGATGAGGTGGTGAGTCTACGTTTTTGGTGGCCGGCCTTGCATGCAGAACTATTGAGCACGCGCAACCCTACTTGCCATTGGGGGGGTCACGGGGAAAATTTCCTGGCCAGGATGGCCGACCCCCGACTGGGGGCCCCCTCAGTGAGGAGGAGCCCCCCCGGACCCCGGCTGGGACCCTTTTCCCCCTGTATGGTAGAGAAAAGGCCGTCCCCCCCAATGGTAAGTAGTAGGGTTGCGCGTTCGAAGCATAGCTACAATCGAGAGGAAGCCTTAGGAAGGATAATTCGTGTTTAAAGCCTCCCAAATGGGACGGGATTATCTATATATACATCCGGCGAGGGGGGGTCAGGAGTCCTCACCTGACGGGTTGGCCATCCTGGCCAGGAAATTTTTCCCGTGACCCTGGCTGGGATTATCTATATATATATACATCCGTCGAGGGAGGCTTAGAGCAGGCCCATGCATTACTATCCAGGCTTGCCCCAGGGTAGAGACTTGGTAGCGAGTACTACGAATAAAGCAAGATCTCGGGGACCCCCCTGTCGGAAGGATAATTCGTGTTTAAAGCCACCCAAATGGGACGGGATTATCTATATATCAGTGGAGGCTTAGAGGCTTTAAACACGAATTATCCTTCCTAAGGCTTCCTCTCGACTATTAGATCACGTACGTTCTGACGCGCAACCCTACTTGCCATTGGGGGGGTCACGGGAAAAAAATCCTGGCCAGGATGGCCAACCCCGACTGGGGGCCCCCTGGCCGGAAACCCCCCTGCTCAGTGAGGAGGACCTTCCCCGACCCCGGCTGGGACCCTTTTCCCGCTGTATGGTAGAGAAAAGGCCGTTTCCGGTTTGGCACCAAGAATGGAGGTTGCCCTGATAACCGCAACAAGTTCAATCCACACTGTCACAGGTACACTGTCACAGGCTGCCTTTGTGCGGCAGTATGTTTGCAGGGGGGTCAAAGCCTAGGCCAGTCCTCTGCTCGCATTTGAGGCCAAAGGACGCCTCCTTGTGCTGGGCGGCAACGGTTTTGTGGGCCGTGAGGCAGGCCATGGCGACTGGCTGAGATTCTACACCGAAGAGGTCCTTTTTCACACCCTAGTCCTAAGGGTCCGATGATAGGCTTGGACCAGTCAGGCGCTTCTCAGTTGATTCGTTGATGCTGCTCATGACCAGGGCGCATGCAAGCAAGTCCGCGGTCTGCTGATCTGCTCGCAAAGTCAGCCGACCCATGATTTGCCTGCTTTCACTGACCTGCTGGTGTAAAGGGAGCGATTGGGAACGTGTCAAGTTTTCCCATGGGTTTCCCTTCAAAACAACCCTACCCGCCCATATCACTATTGTCCAAATCAGCTTTCTGCTTGAGGGCGTCCAGCGACACAATTCGCCAGGTTTGCCGCCTTGCGGTGAAGCGGGGCTTTCAGGCACGGACCTCTGTTTGTTGTTGGGGCACGCGGTCCGATGTCACGATGTGGAAGCTTTGGGATTGGAAAGGGTCCGACGTGGCCAGGGCACGTGGGGGATGGGGGCACAGAGGTGACTTCTCTGAGCCGGCGCGGGGAGAACCCGGAGCCCGGGGACGAGCAGCTGGATCGGGTGAACTGGGTGAAGGCTCCGAAACGGGCGAGAAAAAGGGCGGGCGGGTAGGGGGTGGAGGGGTTGTGCAAAAAGGGAACGTCGGGCCTGGATACCGAAGATTGGAAGCAAGCCGGATTTGTGTCAAAATTCGGGAACCGACAAGATGGGTGGTTTCGTTTTGGTTTTCACTTAGAAGAACACCAAAAAAGAGCACCCTTACTGAAATTGCGTGCTCCACGGCGAGGCTAAGCTCGGATCTCGTGCTCTCGACAGGGCAATGCGGTTGATCCTGGCGTGGTGTCGCAGCTGGTAGGCGGGGCAGTTTGGCGCATGAGACCGGCCTGGGTTAGTCTCGGTGGGCGTGTGTTTGAGGGTATCCTTTGTGGGGCGGGTTTAACGGGAAACGAAAATGAAACCCCGCCTATTCTGGCACATACCCTGTTTTTGCCGGATTGGTTCCCTGTTTTTGATTGAACAGGAAACCATGGCCTGTCATTTTGCCCGGCAAAGTGCGGCGAAGGCCGTAGTTGAAAAAGAGGCAGACCTTGCAACGACTGACCGCTGAGGTATTCTTCTCAACCCACCGCTGAGAAGGGTTCAGAATTCGGGCCCCTTGCTGGCTTTGTGAAGGGAAGGGCAGCCAACGCACTTGAGTTCCCAGTTCGAGTTTCTGGCAGCCAGTCAGAAGCCTGCTCTGTTTGCCGCTGCTTGATGCTTGATCACAGTTTGCAAGGCTGTCATTTAGTGAATGACATTTGTCCCGAGGAGTTTCCCAGAACATTTTGCAAGTTGTTCACTTAGCTAGGCTTTTGTTCGGCTCTTCCCAGCATATACCCAACTCATGTCTGAAATTTGGCCAGGCGAGGCAGATGGTGTGATCCACGCTCGGCAGCCCCAGCTGTGCTTGCAAAAGGGGCTCATGATGCAACATTACATGAGCACGCGCACAAACACATACACGCGTATATGCTCCCCCCAGTTGCATGCTAATCTACCTTTGCAGCATCCAACATTAAGTACTTGAGCGTCATGCATGAAGCTTTTGGCTCTCTCCTCGTACTTTCATTTGTTTGGCCTAATGTCAGCCCCCTTTTGTGCGCCCTCTCCCGGTGGAGATTGTCCGCCTTCTGAACGCCATGTGTGAGTGCCCTGGGCCATTGAGCCGAAGTGCACCCAGGACTGGCCTGTCAAGGTTGGTCACTTGGAGTCAGACTTGCAAATAAGTAAGCAGCCCTGGCTCCTGTTTACAATGTCTGTTAAACCGAAACAAAAGAGGCAACAAGAACATTAAAAATATGGCCAGTTTAAGGCTGAAGGTACTTCAATAACATCCACTTCAAAGTTGACCAGCAAGGAGAGGCAATTTTGAGGCCAGACAAAAAAAATCAGGACTGGCCAAAAAACCCACTGCGCGGGCTTTAAAGGAGCTTTTTGTTCCTCCCCACTGAGCGTTGCTCTTCAAGACAAAAAAGTGATGCTGCCATGCCTAAGAGGGGGAGAGTGAACAATTGGATCCTGACTCATTCATGTGCGCGCGTGCGTCTGCGTCACGTCGCAGCCGACGTGCAAATAAAGCCATTTGCTGCAGCAACTTCAGCGATCCTGCTTTTCTTGAACTTGCGCCATTTTGACAGATGTTGCAAGACCTCTTTTTTACCGGCCGTCGTATGTCCTCCACTAGTGATACAGGCATGTGCAGCTCTGCTCAGCTGAAGCATGTTACCCATGTCCATGTTGGCACGGCGATGCCAGGGACAAGGTGAAGAAGCTTCCACTTCTCAAAGTGCTGCAAGGTCGCAGGAAAGCCAATGCTACAGCTCCTCTAAAGTGTCGCAAGGGCTAAAAACGAAAACCGATTATTTTGGGTCTGAAAGCTCTGAAGCTCGAAGAGATTGTTTTGCAGCGTTTAAGGGCTTTTTGTGACCTCTGTAGCACTGTGTTTTTTAGGCCTTACAACACTTTGAGACATGGAAGCCCCCAAACATCCCAATCCTCTGATTGAAAGGATTGTCATCTTGGACCTGAGATTTGGACGTGCTAAAATCCTTGGGGCGCCAATCCTCAACAAAATGGTATTCTTTGTCTTACATCAACATCATGCCCCGAGTCTGAGTTCCGGGGCGCAAGTGCGCGTGCGAGTTTGCTCGTGCAAGTGATCTTCGTGCAAGCGTGCAAGTTGCTTCGCTGTGGATGTTCTCGTCGACAATGGCTGTGCGCAAGCGCTCGGTGCTGTGCAAGTACTATGCGCAAATTGTAAAGTAACCGGGGCGCTTTTTGTTTCCCCCCCCCCCTAGACTCTTGTATTTT